AAAGTAATTTGTATCTATCATTTGTTGCAATCAACGCGGTGAAGTTTCAAGAGGAGGAAATAATTGTGGCAGGAATATTGAGAATGGTTTTTGGCAGATAATAGTGAAATCATGGAAACCAACAAAATAATGATTTGATTAGTCAATATAGATTTTTCAAGGAATATGAATATTCCATTAAGATCTTTCCTTCGCTTATGCTAATAAATTCCTTCTTTTGTCTTTTTTCTTGACCTAGACACACCATAGTCTCCGGTGATCTCCGGCTCCTCTCCCTTTCTTTCTCTCTCCCTCCTTCCCTCACGTATCACAGAGTCTAGATAGAGATCATTTTCTGTGTTCTTCGTGAGCGTGTCGGTCTGGATATGTACTACTTTTTATGCTCGCCCTGCGCCGTGGAGAACAGGGCTTTTTAAAACATAAAAAAAAATAATTCAGATTTCATGAGATTTTTTGGTATTTTTATTAAATATGAAAATACAGTTGTTTTAGAAAAAATTTCTTATCAAGATAAATTTTCATAATAACACTTTTTTTATTTTAATAAATACAATATTTTTAACTAAAATTATTGATTCTGTAAAAAAAAAAGTATTTTATGGTTATTAAAGCAAGTTAATAAAAAAATATCAAAATAATATGTGTGATTAAAAGTTAAAAATAATAAATATGATAAAATCTTGTTTAAAGCCTATTAAAAAATGTTAAGAATAAAAACAATAATTTGAATGAACAATTTATTGTTAGTATTGTTATTTTATATTTGCTACATAATAATTGAATTTGTTTATTAAAGTTAAACAAAAAGTTTATAATAGAATCATATCTAAATTAAAAAGCATGTGAATTTGATAAAATTGTTTTTGGGGTGATAAAAAAAAACTTAAAATTATCAGGCATAACATTTAGCCCGTAGGCCAGGCTTGTGCTCAAAGCCTTTCTTTCTTTATTCTTTTATTAACACTTTATTTTTTTTTTTAAAAAAATACAGATGATAAGTCGGGTTCCTTATTGTCATCTTCAGCTCCCAAACATGTGACCTCTTGATTAGCTACGCGCGCTAATTATTCTAGCTAGTATTCAAACGATTAAAATATAAATTAATTTGATTTATTAATTATATAAACAGTGAAGTATTGTAGGTTAATGTGCTAGTGTTTGATAAAAAATACAACCGGACAACCTTTGACAATGCATGGCCAGGTTTTAAGGGCAGATTTTTCCCGAGGAAGTTCCGCTCATCGCTTCCGATCTCTGTCAGTTTTCTCGAGGGCTACTAGCGAGGCCACCTTTGATTTTGGGGTGTCAACTATTCCCCTCAATTTGAAAAACAAATTGCTATATATTTATAAATAGAGATTTAATAGGAATTCAAGGTAACGAAAGCGAGCATGACTAGGACGATCCCCTTAGAATTATTACAACTTACAAAAGTAACAAAAATGACCTTTATGAGGGTTCTTTTAGTGACTCTTTACGAACATAAACAAAGCAATTGCTAATCTCCTCATGCATGGTTTTTAAATTCTTCTTACCTCTAGAACATAATTTACGTTCAAGTTTTCTTTATTTCAAACCAATTTAGATATTGATTTGATAAAATTAAAATAATTTAGTAAATTCACACATGACCTGATTAACTTGATCAAACTCGAATTAACTTAATTATATAACTTAAAATATTTTATTTTTTAATTTTTTATCTAAACATATATTATTTTATTTTAAAAAATTATTAAAACAATTTGGTTTTATGTTGACCCGATGACAATCTTGTATAATTGTAAAATGAGTGAAAATAAAAGTATCTTTGGTTTTTTTATTTAATAAATTTATACATCAATAAAATAATAATAATATGATTTTCAAAAGATGTGATTATCAATCGACCTGTTTCATCTCCCAAAATGATACAAACTATAACTTTTAATTTACGTCACCAGCGGAATAGAGTATTTCTCATAACATAAACTGTTGATAGAGCTTTTCGAATAAAAATTATTACGAAGGTAAAGCCAAACACCATTGCCTGGATCCCTCGCCCACTTAAAATGCCCTCAAAAGAGAGAAAACCCAAACGAAAAGAAAAGAAAAATAAAGCCAGAGGTTGAAGTGGATCCCTTGGAAATCACAGAAGCAGCATCTAGATTGTTGGAGCCACACTGTGGACCACCACAGTCTCAACAGAGAGCCCAGGCCCAAACCCAAAAAGCACACCCCATTCCAGCCCTTCTCTTGTAGATTGAAGCCCATCCTCAGCACATCAAGGGCTGGGAGAGTTTTCCAAGTTTGTTATGCAAAGTTCGAGATCCTAGAATATACAAATATACAAATATCATGATACTTTTAATAATTATGATCCGGAGATTTATCCGGAAAAAATATATAAGTTATTGAATCATCCATGAATTTATCAAGTGAGTCCATAAATAATGAAACGACATCTCATTTCCGAAACATCCAAAAAGACGTCGTTTCTAATGCAATCTTCCGAGCCAATTATAGTTGCCACTTGGCAGAACTTCTCATCTCCCACCAACCGTTCCTTGTTTTCTTCTCCTTTTCAACTCCCTCTCTCCCATCATTTTCTCCCTTGCAGCGTATCTACCAGATTACACCACTACACTAAAATAATTAGGATTTTTTAAGCACTATTTATATGAATTCGAGTCATGGCTCAGTTAGTTAGCTGTCAATTGTCATGGGTTTTTTAAGCACTATTTAATTTTGGTATGTATAATTTTTTATTTGAATTTTAATAATTTATTTTTAATTATTACGTAACCGATATGAAAATAATAATACTAATAATAAATTATTCATTAAAATTTGATTCAAATTGTTTTTTATTGTTAAAATTTTTAAATAAATTTTTAAAATATAATTTTTATTTTATTTTCAATCACATATAAAACATTAACATACTAATTTAATATTTTTTTAAGACTTTCTTTAATGATCATTTATTTTTAATAAAAAAAATGATTTCAATTAAAAATCTTGTGTTTATTAAAATAAATAAGAGATATGTTGATGATATTTTTTTGAAAGTGACTGTATTTTTAGGTTTAATAATAATATTAAAAAATTATCAATTAAATTTTTTCCCACTTAGTATATTAAAATAAGTGTTTATTGTTTTATTATTTTTGAAAGTATTTTTCACTAAAAAAATATATTATAATAATATTTTTTATTTTTTTAAAATTATTTTTAATATTAGTGTATCAAAATAATATAAAAATATAAAAAAATTAATTTGAAGTAAAAAAAACATATCACAACTATTATACTCTATAGCTTTTTCATTGTTTATTGTTTTATATTTGTACTTCCTTCATCGTCTTGCTGTGTTCAACGGGAACAAAGAAGGGGAAAAGAAATATTATCAGACTGTTTTTTTTTTTGGTCAACATTTTTTCTTTTCTTTTTTTTGTTATGTTTATAAGATCTTATAGTCAATAATTTTTCAGCAAGTAATTCTGATTTTAATAATGAATATTCTTTTGGAGGAGCAAATGACCAAATGTAAATGATAGAATCGGTCATTATTTTAGCTTTCCTGGTGCATTATTAGCAGGGGATTCTGATATTTTATTATGTTTAAAAATTTTCTTGATGATCTTGCTCTTCATTGATATATATATATTTCCTTTTAACTAAAATATGTTAAAGCTTTAATTCAGTTATTTTTTGTTGGAACTATACAGTAAGAATGATGGGATCAATAGAGGTTTGATGGTGTTTCTATGGTGAGAGATTGAAACTAAAGAGAGAATGGGAACGGAGACATGGAAAATGAAACTAAAGTCTGGCTACATAGTTGGAAAATGAACTGATAAGATTCAAACATCTAAACTGGACGTTTGAGATCAAACTAAGCCGGGTTTGGACTATACAACTACTAGCATTACAGGTTCGGACCATGTTTTGATGTATTGAATGAGGCTTGCTGGGTTAATATTTTAGTTGATTTTACTGGTAATTATGAACTAGTAGAGGTCATTAGGTTCTAAATTTCTTAGATTAATTTTGGGTTCTGTTGAGTTGTATAATAATGTGTTTTTAATTGAGGTAATAAATTTTACATTAAATTATTCAATGATTTTTTTCACTCACGAGTCACCAAAAAAAAAAATCTATTAAGTATTTGTTTAAGAAAATGGTAGCTTTTGCTATTTAAAAATATTTTTTATTTTTAATATTAACACATAAAATATATTAATAATTCTAAAAAAAATATTAATTTAATATTTTTTATTAAATATATTTTTGAAAGACATCCCGACACAATTTTCATATGAATGAATAACCAATGCACATGTGTGCAAAAACATGCAAGACTTTTTTGTTTTACCATGATATTATGTAGAATTTTCTAAAAAAGAAATTATTAGGCGTACATAGAGTTCCGCTCCTTTTTCACCTAAAAACGAGGCAGGTTACGTAAAGATTGTTTATCCATCCTGTCTTTGCATGAAATAAGAGAATGTATTTAATTTTGAATCTTTACATGAAATAAGAGAATGTGTTTAATTTTGAATAATATACCTTCATTGATTAGATTTAAAATTCATTTTTTAAAAATTATCGGTTTAAATTTTATAAATTTAAAAATTATTAAAGATTTAAAAAATTATTAATTTAAATTTTTTTAAAATTAATTAAAGTATATATAAGTCATTTCAGGTACCAACCACCCAGAGTATACATCTCCATAAAATATTATATAATACCACACAATCATTATGTTATTTTATGTTGTCAAGTAGATATTTTTTAAAAATAATTTTTTATAACAGTGTTTACGATTACAGTTCAGCAAATTACGTAAATCCAAACACAACCACCTCGACTCTTTTCGACACTGCTAATTGGTGCTCTCAAGAGAGAGACACTCTGTAGAGTAATAGGGCATAATTAAAAGAAGCGAGAGCATTTTGTTTTTTTTTTTTTTAAAAAAAAGAAGCCAATAGAAGTTCTAGTGCAGGTTGCCATGAAAATCAACAGAAGCATCATCTAGATTGTTGGAGCCACACTGTGGAGCACCACAGTCTCAACAGTGAGCCCAGGTCCAAACCCAAAAAGCACACCCCATTCCAGCCCTTCTCCAGTAGATTGAAGCCCATCCTCAGCAGATTTCTTTCTCATCTCATCCAGAATAAACAACACACATGCACTCGACATATTTCCATACTCGCTCAGCACGTGTCTAGTGGCTCGCAGTTTCTCGGGTTTCAGCCCCAGCTTAGCCTCCACCTGGTCTAGAATTGCTGGTCCACCGGGGTGCGCTATCCAGAAAAGGGAGTTCCAGTCCGAGATGCCCAGAGGCTTGAACGCCTCCGTTAGGCTCTTCTCAACGTTCTTTGAAATAAGCCCGGGAACATCCTTGAGGAGGTGAAATGTAAGCCCGACTTCACGGAGATGTCCATCTATAGCCCCATCGCTGTCGGGTAGAATAGTTTGGGCTGCAGAGACTAGCTCAAATAAAGGCTTCTCGACTCCTACCACTGGGTCAGAGCCTATTATGAGAGCAGCAGCGCCATCGCCGAACAATGCTTGACCAACAAGGCTATCAAGATGGGTATCGCTAGGGCCCCGAAATGTCACGGCTGTAATTTCAGAGCACACAACCAGCACACGAGCACCTTTGTTGTTCTCGGCGAGGTCCTTAGCGAGGCGGAGCACCGTGCCACCAGCGAAACAACCTTGTTGATACATCATAAAACGTTTGACCGATGAGCGGAGGCCCAGAAGCTTAGTGAGCTGGTAGTCAGCCCCGGGCATGTCCACACCACTGGTGGTGCAAAACACTAGATGGGTTATTTTGGACTTGGGCTGACCCCATTCCTTGATGGCCTTGGTAGCTGCTTCTTTGCCTAACTTTGGTACCTCCACCACCACCATGTCCTGTCTAGCATCCAATGAAGGTGCCATGTATGCACACACACTAGGATTTTCTTTTAAGATCTCCTCAGTCAAGTACATGTACCGCTTCTTGATCATGGATTTCTCACCTGAAATGCATGGCATGACATAATTAAGTTTGATAGATATCTACCAAGACAATATATGTGTAATAGAAATGTAATTAATATATATCTAAAAGTCTTACACATTCGCTTGAATTTTTCTTTAAGCTCCGCCTTATGCTCACTGTTTGTGATGCGAAAATAATAGTCAGGATACGTGCTTTGATCAACACAGTTTGGAGGGGTTGATGTTCCTATGGCCATGATGGTGGCAGGCCCCTCCGCCCGTTGCGACTTCCGAATTTCATCAACGGTCACCATATTTCTTTTTTCTGGGGGAGAAAACCAAGAAATCAAATCGAAGGGGGTTGAGGGCTGAGCACCGTAACAGTGCCCTGGGTGGTGTAGATGTTGCAATGGACTGGCTGTTGAGAGAGGTAGATTGGGATGAGTGGGAAATTCGAAGAGAATGTGGTCTGTATATATAGCATAAAAGAGTGAGAGGTTAGCTGAGATCAAAATAAGAGAGGGGGGTTAGCTGAGATGTTCACGTGTTGCATAAATGCCTCTTCTAACCAGTCTGCCGAGGACTTGAATGGTCCGTCGCGATGACAACAAAAATAAATGTTCTGTTAGTTAATATATGCGATTGTAATGGATTTATATCACAAAATAATTAAAAATATGTGCTTTAGTTTATTACTAATTTACATGCTATCACTGCATGTCATATTATTTTTTTAATATAATAAAAAAAATTTAAGGCATGGGGAATCATTTAGTATTATTAAAAATCTTAAAACCTCTTAATTTAATTCATTGTATAAAGTGAGTTTAGAATTAAAACGTGTGGAAGTTTTTTTTTGGCATGACTCATTAAAATTAGTTAGTCTAATTAAACTAACTAATCAATAAAAAAATTAAAAATAAAACTGAGATAAAAATAATAAACTTGATAGAAAAAACCTCTTAATTCAATTTTTTTTAACATAATTTTAAACTTAAATATTTTAAGAGTTTATCTAATATGATTTTATTAATTTAACTTATCCAAAATAACTTATTCAACTGGTAAAATAAACAAGAATTAAATTAATAAAAAAACAATGGAAAAAACCTCACAATTTAACCTTTTAATTAACTCGAGTTTAAAATTAAACTATAAGATAATTTTTTTTAATGATTGAATTGACTTGATAAATTCAAGAATAATTCAATTAACTATTAAAATATATAAGGATTTAATTCAAAAACAAATATATTAAAAAAAAAGCTTCATTGCTCACATGAACTTTAAATACTAAAAAAGATTTCAATATCTGATTCTTAATAAAAATTATAATTTTAAAATTTAATTGAGAGTTGATCCACAACACTATCTAAATCATAGGTCACTAGTTGGGATGGTAGATTCTAGTTTATTCTAATTTTTTAATTTAAAAAAATCAAAACAATATTGTTTAAAAAAATAAAAAATGAACAAATGAAACAAATGAAACAAATTAATGGTTATGTTTTTATCAGGTCAAGCCATGGTTGGCTGAATCATCGGTAGGGCCTAAATCAACTATATCAAATCAAGCTTCTGACTAGATTAACAAAAATGAAAAGTTATTTATATATGTGTGTAAGTCTTAGTTTGAGTTTGTAACTATACAAGGAAAAAAATATCTATCAAGTTGATATCCATAGATAACCCTATCTCCATTAATATATTTATGAAAGAATGTCTCTTCTGAGATCCTTCATCTGGAGGCATGGAAGCTTTAGGATGTCCTTTCTTGCCCCACATAAAGGGGTTATTTTCTCGTAATGCCGATACTTTTATTTTCTTTCATTTCTTTTAACACTGGTAATATTAGGCATGCAATTATTACTCATTAAATAATAAGGTAATTACTAAAAAAAACCATTCATTTAAATTGGATTTAAATTGATGTCCTGTCTCCATCAATAAATTTTAAAAGAATTCTTCTCTGAGATCCTTCGAGGGAAGCATGCAATCAAAGGATGCCATCCCTGATCGTTTCTCGGCCTGCATAGAGAAGTTACTTCCACCTTCTTTGCCTTTTCACTTCCTAGTAACGGTGGGCATGCTCTGCAGTTGGTCCTTTATTTCTCGACAACAGGTTTAGAGAGTTTGTTTGATATTTTATATGTAAAGCGCTTCATGTCTCGAAACGAATATTTTCGGAAGGAAACTCTATTTTTTATCGAAACGTTTTTCAATTGCTAGTGTACTCCGAAGGGTCATCATCTTAAAACTTGTTCGGTTATCGTTCCAGACTTAATCCTGTCAATATCATTCAACGTGCTGTGCTGTCATGCTGATACAGATTCTAGTTTACAAAATCCAGCAACAACGAGGTTATTTCGTTGCGGTTTCGATTAGAATTTTATATATTGATGATGTTTTTTTAAAAAAAATAAATTATTCAACTTGATACAATTATTTATATTTAAAAATTTTTAATTTTATTTTTTATTTAACTTAAATTTTAAATTAAATTATATAATAATTATTCTAATGTAATCTTGTTGACCAGATAGGTCTAACAAAACAAAGAAACATGCAAATTTTATCCTAATTAATTTGTTAAATTAGTGATTTAGATTTTTAAAATTTTATTAGATTAGATTAAATTTTTTATTTTATTATATAATTAAAAAATATAATAATTAATTTACAATTAATTTAATAAAAATTTAATATTAAAAGATAAAGTCTTAAATTTTTTTTAAAAAAATCACCAATAAAAATAGAGCTGTGAGCCTGTTTTAAAAAAGCCTAATGGCATGGGTTAAGGTAGGCCCATGTGCCTTGATCATCCGCTCCTTTTTAAAAAAAATACAGACTGACAAGTCATTTGTGGTTGATAGAAAATATCAAATACCCCAATAGCTCGAAAGCAAGAATTTTAGCCCCAGGTCCTGTCATGTCAATTGCTGTTGCCAATAACAATAACATGGGGCATGAAAGTTATAAGATTTTAATTTAACTTATTAGATTATAAATTTATATTTTAAAATTTATTAATTTAAATTTTAAAATTATTAAATATTTATATAATTATTAATTTTAAAATTTATAAAATTAATTGAGGTACATATAATTTAATTATAATATTTATATTATAAAAAAATATATATAAGGATTTGGAAATTGTAGCCAACGACTTGATCCTCAGGTTTTAGATTTAAAAAATGGATGAGTAGAAATACAGTATAGAATGGAGTGGTGGGGTGTCCTTTCAGAGTTCGGAGAGAACCCGAACCCACCACCAACCAATGGGGTCATGACGACAAAAGCAGCAGTGCTTTACTGCAGGAAGTGTCATTGTCGAATTTTACTTCAAATTCTCTTCTCGTCTCTCATTTTCATCTCTCTGTTTATTTTTACTGCCTGTACTGCACTCTTCGTTGTCGTCAGCGAAGGGAAACTTATTTTGTTTTGCTTTACCCCTGAGGATAGTTAACGCGGTAAAAAGGGTTCTGATGGGTACCACGGTAGCCATGGCTCAAATCAATTTTTAACCATGTCAAGTAATAATTTTTTAATAATTAAAAAAAATTCAAAGTAATTTTTTTAAATAATGAAATGCTTTTTCGATAAACCTGAGGAGAGAGATTATTTCAGTTAAAGCTGTAAATTAGAAATAGACAAGTTTGGCTTTTTCTAGAACGGGAGGACAAAACCTGATTCTAAGTCAATAGGCTCGGGTTCTGTTTATTTGTATCTTTTAAAAATATTTTAAAAGAATTTAAAATTTTTTGAATATTTTTATTTGAAAATAATATTTTTTTGATATTTTTATATTATTTTAATACATTGGTGTAACAATAATTTTAAAAATATAAAAAATATTATTTTAATATAAAAAATATTTTCAAATAGCCTTTCAATAGCTAATCCTCTAGTGATTTTAGTTTTGGTGACTTGTCATTTCCACACCACGGAAAAAAGAATATAATATTGTCTACTAATAGGGTTCTACAAAAATCATATTTCTTCTTGAAAAGGTATAAAACCCTGCCCGCCTATCCTAGTTTTGTCTAATTTGTATCCGAGTACAAGGGCGCGGGTCCGAATTTCTTCATATACTAGTTAAGAAAGCAATACCAATGTCCTACAAAAAGATCTATTTTTTATTTTTTGCATGCTTCATTTATCTGAAGCAAGGGTCTCTACTGACCCAACATTGAGAAATGTGTTTCTTCAATTTAAATTTTATTTTTAGCAACATGCAATAGTAAAAGAAAAATTAAAGGATCAAAACAAAAATTGAAAACAATGTTGTCCGTGGGTGGACAGTGAGTTCACCACACATTCAGGTTTCTTGTAATCTACGTACAATAGTCGAAGTCTTCTTGTGTTAGTAATAAAGGGGTGACTTTTTAGCTTGGAAAAAGAAGTAGGAGAAGATAAAGCAATTATGATGTTACGTTCGAGGGAGGTGCAGCCGGGGGACAAGGATTGGTAAGACTCTTCTCGTGCAAGCTACATGCTTTTATTCAATACTAGTTAGGTGGCGTTCACTCCACCGCATATCAACTTTTTTATCTTCGTAAAAAGTATTGAAAAAGCTTGAGATTTAAGAACGTTAAATCTTACTACAATACTAGACCTCGTAATACTATTTATAATATAAATAATAATATTTAATTTATTTATTTAAATTCAAATATTTTTTAATCTTTTTAAAAAATTATAGTTTTTCTTTCATAGTAATAATAATAGTTTTTTAAAAAATTTATAGACCATAACAATAACAATAAAAATAAAAAATTTTAATTTTATATTTTAAATCAAATTTATAGTTTTTTTCAACATTGATAATAATTTTTTAAATTTTTTAATTATTTTACTACTAATATTAATTATAATAAAAAATAATATTTTTAATACAAAAAAATAATATTAATTATAGTAGTAATAATAATTTTTTCAAATTTATAACTTATTATTTGTATTCAAATTATTATTATTATTATTATTACTAGTAAAATAATTAATAAATTTGAAAAAAATTATTATCAAAATAATCAATTTATTATTTGTATTTAAAATATTATTATTTTTATTATAATTAATATTACTAGTACAATAATTAATAAGATTAAAAAAATTTATTATCAAAATAAAAAATAATAATAATAGTTATTGGTGTTGTTGTTGTTATTATTAATAAATTTTTTAAAAATATTATTATTACTGTCGAAAAAAAATCGTAATTTTTAAGGCATTAGTTTTACGTCCAGACGTTAATGCATTACCAATGAATCCAGACTCAGGGGAGTGGGTGTGTAGATCCCAGACATGATGGTTTGCACCTAGTGCATAGGTCTGTAAACCCAGGCGCGTGATTTGCACACCCTTATCGAGTCTGCACATCCAGTACACGGGTGTGGCTCTAACATCATGGTACGATAATCTCACTACTAGGTGTTCATAGCCTAAGACACAACTTTACCCCTGTGGTCTATAAAATTCCACGTGATAAGGCATGACAATCCTAATGTTAATTGTGATCAATCTTGAGCCTGCAACCCCATTATGCTCCATCAAAAATTATATATATATCATCATTTTAATGTTAAATGCATCTAACCCTACCCGTTTATTTAGTATTTACAACTTTTTATGGTAATGACAGCTTTGTCATTATAGTATTTTAAATCTTCATCAACAAGACTTTTACTAATTCTATATCAACCTATGGTATAATAAATCCTGATAAACAGGAATTTCCTGAATATTACAAGCTGGGATATATAGATTTGACTAATTAAAAAAATAAAGAATAATATAAAAAGAAGCTAGGCAATGCGCTGAGAGGATTGCGATGATTTTCTGGCACAAAAAAAAGAAAAGAAAAGCCTAGGCTCACCTTTACTTGCCATGCCAAGCCCTGCCCTTTCCTTTAAGAAAAAAACAAGTACACTATTCAACGTGGTGGAAGAGTCATGCAACGAGAACTATAAATTGACAATACCTGATTAGTTGTTATGAATTTTATTGAGGAGAACTTTAATTTTATCTGCTATCATTTTTTTTTCTTGGAACACAGTATTCTCCACCGTAATTAATTAACTACTCATAGAGTTTAGGGCCACTGTTTATTACAAACGTACTCAAATCGAAACACAACCAGCTCGAGGCTTACCCTAGTGCTCTCAAAGGAGACATATTCTGTGGAGGAAGAGAGCACAATTAAAAGAAACAAGAGTAAATTGAAAAAAAAAGAGAGAGAGAGCCCGTGGAAGTGGGGGCTGGCTATGTAAAGCAACAGACGCAGCTTCTACACTCTAGTAGCCACACTGTGGAGCACCACAGTCTCAACAGTGAGCCCAGGTCCAAACCCAAAAAGCACACCCCATTCCAGCCCTTCTCCAGTAGATTGAAGCCCATCCTCAGCAGATTTCTTTCTCATCTCATCCAGAATAAACAACACACATGCACTCGACATGTTTCCATACTCGCTCAGCACGTGTCTAGTGGCTCGCAGTTTCTCGGGTTTCAGCCCCAGCTTAGCCTCCACCTGGTCTAGAATTGCTGGTCCACCAGGGTGCGCTATCCAGAAAAGGGAGTTCCAGTCCGAGATGCCCAGAGGCTTGAACGCCTCCGTTAGGCTCTTCTCAACGTTCTTTGAAATAAGCCCGGGAACATCCTTGAGGAGGTGAAATGTAAGCCCGACTTCACGGAGATGTCCATCTATAGCCCCGTCGCTGTCGGGTAGAATAGTTTGGGCTGCAGAGACTAGCTCAAATAAAGGCTTCTCGACTCCTACCACTGGGTCAGAGCCTATTATGAGAGCAGCAGCGCCATCGCCGAACAAGGCTTGACCAACAAGGCTATCAAGATGGGTATCGCTAGGGCCCCGAAATGTCACGGCTGTAATTTCAGAGCACACAACCAGCACACGAGCACCTTTGTTGTTCTCGGCGTGGTCCTTAGCGAGGCGGAGCACCGTGCCACCAGCGAAACAACCTTGTTGATACATCATGAAACGTTTGACTGATGGACGGAGGCCCAAAAGCTTTGTGAGTTGATAGTCAGCACCGGGCATGTCCACACCACTGGTCGTGCAAAACACTAGATGAGTTATTTTGGACTTGGACTGTCCCCATTCCTTGATGGCCTTGGTAGCTGCTTCTTTGCCTAACTTTGGTACCTCCACCACCACCATATCTTGCCTGGCATCCAATGAAGGTGCCATATAGGCGCACACATTAGGATTTTCCTTCAAGATGTCCTCGGTCAAGTACATGTATCGCTTCTTGATCATGGACTTCTCGCCTGAAATATTTGCAAAATCAAAATTGATCAATCGGTGCATACTTCAATGCACATAATTGGAACATCGATTATTTAATGGTATTTTATTTTATTTAAATTAAAGGGGGGATTATTTAAATTAAAGGGTGGAACATCAACGGACAATAATCAGTGTAAAAGTTAAAACAATGCCAAAAATCTTGTTCTCTTTGGTATCCATATAAAATATTAGTTAGTTTATGTTTTTTATTTTAAAATATATTTTTTATTTTAAATTTTTTTTTACATCAAAATAATTTTAAAACACAAAAAAATTAATTTAAAATAAAAAATAAATACGGGGTAAAAAAACAACATGTACACTGTCTTGGCCATCTTTAAGGATCCTTAGCTCCTATATAACTTCATTTCCAAAAATCCATGGATAAACCAATGATGATCAGTAACTTTAAATTAGTTAATTAAATAGGCAAGGTATTTTATCTTTTGAACCAAATATAGAAGTTTGAAATGTTCCCTTAAGAATACGATACGGATTATTTTTAACAGGTTAATTTAAACACTTTATGGTATAAAATTTGATAATACGTTATAAATGACAAGCTCCTTTACCTATTAGTCAATTGGGATTTTTTCTTATTAAAGGTTAGAGCATTAATTTATAAGACTCTAGATAGTAAATTCTATGATATTCAGCTACTATATATATATATAGAAGAACCTGGCTCATATACAAACAGAGATGAGACGAATTCTAGTAGCTAGAAGCGAGAAAATATATACGTTCTTGCGTATCAGCGAATATCTTGAAATTTATGAAAGGAAAATCTTCAAACGAACACATGAATGAGCATGAAATACCATATATATATATATAAAAGAACCCGGCTCATATACAAACAGAGATGAGACGAAATCTAGTAGCTAGAAGCAAGAAAATATATACGTTCTTGCGTATCAGGGAATATCTTGAAATTTATGAAAGGAAAATCTTCAAACGAACACATGAATGAGCATGAAATACCATGGAAATGAATTAATCAGAAGCAAGTCTTACACATGCGCTTGAATTTTTCTTTAAGTTCCGCCTTATGCTCACTGTTTGTGATGCGAAAGTAGTAGTCAGGGTAAGTGCTTTGATCAACACAGTTCGGAGGCGTTGATGTTCCAATGGCCATGATCGTGGCAGGACCCTCTGCCCGTTGCCCCTTCCGAACCTCATTGACGGTCACCATTTTTTTCCCAGGCCGGAAAGAACAGGGAAATTAACTCGGAGAGATAGATATCGGTGGTGAAGTTATGGCAATGTTGCAGCTGCCTTTTTGGAGAGTTAGTTAGCTGGGATATGCCACTTGAATTTCAAGAGGATGCGACGTATATATAAGAGCAGGAGAGAGCAAGGGGTTAGGTGTGGCTTGGCTTGGCTGTTGGGTGGTTATGCACGTGTTCCGCCGGTGCCCTTCCAAACAAGTTTAGAATGACTCGATTGAGTGCCGGCAGGCACGTGATATGCAGAGTTTGGTAGGTTTAACGGCTATCAAACCGTCCACGCAGCGTGGAGGTTTTTTTGTTGGTTAATCTCCACAAATAGCCCATCAAAAGTTTCCTCCTTCATAAGAGCGTCTGGTCTTGAATTCCAATCTTTTTTTTAATTACTTAATATTTTAAAAAATATTAAATTGATTTCTTTTCATGATTTTGATATATCAATGTTAAGATTAAAAAATAATATTATTTTAATACATTTTTATTTAAAAAATGCTTTTAAAAATCATTTTATACCCCAATATCTCTAAATGAGTTTGTACGATCTTTCACTGTGATGGCAGAATGATAACCACCGACTACTTTTATTGATGAAATAAACGGTGATCCGACACAATTAATTTTCAATCTTGAAGAAGGGTAGCACAAACTTTGTATGCTCTCAGTTATGCAAAGAGAAACAGCTGACATGAAAAAAAAAAAAATCTTAATTTTCCTAAAAGCGGCTCTTCTTGATGACTAGCATAAAGATTGTGCTATGTTATAGTGTTGATCCTAACGAAAAATAAATTAGGTGCACATATTTATTAATGGATTTATTCGAGTTTAATAGATTTAAGAGTATTTTAATTAAAATTTAATGTACTAGATGCCTGTTAGCTTCTAAAATATATTTTAATTATTTGGTTGATAAAAGAACATGAAAGGACCATGATCAATATTATAATAATTGCTTGAATATTACCAATTTACCATAATAAATGCCATACGATAAGGGAAGCCTGAAAAAGTTAGGTGGGTCTCGTGATATACCAAATTTTTAAATACTTAGGTTTTGTAATTAATTATATTATCAAACTTAAAAATATATAGGCATGACAAAATGTTAAACTTAATAAAATATAGGTTTGATATTATATAACACTTAAAATATTTGGTTTTGATAATCAATTAAACCCAATATAAAGATTATTGATTTGTTAGAACAAATAAATTTGGGTTCAATTATCAACCAAACCTAAAAAAATATGAGCATGTCGAGATATCAGATTTAATATATTTGAGTTTAGTTGTTATATAAACCTAATAAAATATAAATCTAACAAGGTATTAAATTTAATAGACCTGAACTTAGCTGTCAATTGAACCCAAAAAAATAAATCTAATAAAATATTAGATATAAAATATTTGATTTCAAGATAATGTACTAGATATCAAACAATCATTTAAACCTAAAGCATTATAGATTAGATAAAATATCATGTGCCTATTTTTAGATTCGATTATATCTCATGTTTTGAGTTTATGAGTTTATGAGACTAAAAAATCCAACCTTTATAATAATTACATATATTATTTATATTAGAATCAATGATCTCCTTATATTTATATAGAAGTATATAAATTTTTTAAGAGGTTTGTTATATTTATTATCTTATTATTAATATATAAAAGATATTTATTTCTCAACAATACTAATTAAAAATAAATGATTTTTTAGTTAATTTTGCCCCCAAAAACCACAAGAATTCAGGGATATCTCCTGTTATCTAAATCAGTGTTTGTAAAGGAGGAGATCAGTCTTCTGGGTTCTAAAGATGGGCATGCATAGGGGTGTCTGTATTTAATTTTCAAGAAGAGAATTTGCCATTTTTGCTGGTGTGCTTGGATATTAGCCCCTGCATGGTGGGCAAGGACATGTCCATAGGTCGCGTTGACTTGCATGATGTAGTGATGCGATGGGCATGGTTAAAGAGTTTAATTGCGCTCATGATCTGGCATGATGATATCTGAAATCATGAAAGTACTTAGATGATATTTGGTAACGTGGCTGCGGGTAAGATTCATTCGCAGCCATGTATTTTAATATTTGGTAAGGAAAACAAACTTCATTTTATTCGACTTATTAATTTTTATTGTCCAACCATATAATTGGAGAATGTTAATTTTTAAAAAAAAAAATTAATGGAAGAAGTTTAGTTTTTTTTAAAAAAAACCATTGTAGTTAATTATTAATAATATTTTTTTATTTTTTAAAAAAATTAAATTTATTCATACTGTAATGAAATTATAATTTTTTTAAAAAAATTATGTTTTACTCAAAAAACTAGTATTTAATATTATTTAATAACACTACATAAATTATAAAAATATCACATAATGACATAACATTTGTGAAATTTAATTACAATTCCAACAATAAAGATATCACAATATTTATTATTTAATAACACTATATAAATTAAGAAATTCAGTTTTTGTTGTTGCACGCTTAAGAAATCATGGAAAATATAGTCCTTGTTAGATAAATTTCGTATGTAATGACATTGCACATAGTTTAATGAAATAATAAAAAATATATTAATATTATTTATTTTATGATATAATAACAGTTGTTAAATCTACAATATTTAAACTAAAAATCATTAATATATATATATATATATTAATTATTTTATAACCTCAATTTGAAAACTATTTTTTTAACTAAACACATTAAAACTACTTTTTCTTCGACTTCAATTTCAACTATATTTTTAATTAAACACTTATTTTTTCAAACCAATCTCAACTAAATGTATTTTTTATAAAACAATTTTTTTCAAACCACAACCACAGCAGCTACCGCAATACCAAAGACGCTTTTAATAAAATAGTAGGTGGATATTATTTTTTAAAATTATTTTTCTTAAAAAATAAAATAATAATTTTTTTAATTTATTTTTATATCAATACATCAAAATAATTTTAAAACAATTAATTTTAAACTATTTTTTTTAAAATATAATTTAAATACAATGGCAATGATACTGTTCGAGAAATTACTATGTGGCCAGATTCCTCTGGCACATAGCATAAGGTCAAGGGGGTTAAAATGTCCAATAAGTTAAAATACCTAGCTGTGGTTCTGGGCTACTTGTCTAGCCAGTATTGGTTCCCCCTTGAAGTAGGTGGATCATAAAGGCAACTATTCGACTCACCACCTCTCCTTTGAAGATGGTTTTGACAACACTTATGACGTCACCTGTGCCTGCCACTTCTTCATCCTTTCGTCCGTGGGATTTTTATATTGAAAAAACTCTCAAGAATAAACATGAACACACTTCGTATTTGACATTTGTATTTTAAACTTGAACACCCTTTGTATCTTTATATATATATATATTATAATTTATACTAGCTAGTTGCTATGTCGCTGGAACTTTATTACAGCCAGTGTGCTCGGATTATATACTGGACCGCGTTTTGAAATAAAATTGGTGGAAGTTAATCTAATGTGATTAAGTGGGGGGTAATATAATGTGATTTAGTTAACAGAATAAGTATATTTTTAATTTATTTTATCTTATTAAAATTTAGTTTAATTTTTTTTAAAATAAATTTAAAAACAAAATCAATTTAACATTTTCTTATAAAAAAATTAAAATAATACCATTTTAGATTAATTTTGATTAAATTGGATCGGATTACCCTACACAACTCATAATTCAAGAAATGAACCTAATCAGGTTTAATAAAATTACCTTTTAAAATATATTTTTTTATTTAACCATTTAAAAAAAACAGATATTTTTAAGTGTTATGTGGAACATCTCAATGAATTGTATACAAAAATAATAATAAAAAAAGACCATCAACTAGTTTTATGGTAATTTGAATACCCTAATTAATTTTTTAAATATTATTGATAAATAATTCATTATATAATAGAAAAGATTCCCGATATAAGATAACCTAAACTTAATAATAAAATGTACATATTGTCACAATGGATTTTAAAATCACCACTTGTTTTCAATAGGCTCACACGGGTCAAATTGACCTAACTCAAATTCAATCCTCATAGGAGGATATAACCTGGTATTAAAAATTATCTATATAAACATCCATGCATGTTCTAGATTTAAAATATATAATAAATATAGATATCAAAGTTATATATACAAAAAACGTTTAGAGTGATACTAGTTTTTTTTAGCTGCATTACACAATATATTGTTTTTTTCTCCATTAAGAAAATCATAAAAATGTTAGAAAGTAAAATACTCAATGTATAGTAGGTAAAACATTTTTAAAATAGTTAAGTGGTAACATGTTGGATGAAATATTTTTCTAACCTGCAAAACCCTTAATATGAAATATAAAATAGTTAAAAAACTATGAAACCATTTGGAATTGAATCCTATTCTTTTTTTCTTCTGTTTTTTTAACAAGGTAACAGTCTCACAATGTTGCACGGAGACAATAATTAATTAACTCAGAGAATGATTAAACAAATTTTTACAGAATTACAGAACACGTGGATGAAATATATAAATCTGGTGTATAAAACAGCATAATATATGATTAATAAATCCCAATTTTCATATAGTTTTGGCATTTAAGTTGTTTTCATCAGTGCTTCAGAACATAAAAGATAAATACAAAAAAACAAAAATGTATTTAATTGAAAGAATGTAAACAAAAATATAGACTAAAATTATCTTTGAAAAAATTTTAAAATAAAATTCTGTCATTTCAAAATAGAAAGGGCAGAAAGATAAATACCTCTGTCCCAATCGGTCTCCATCTTCTATTTCAAGATAGAAACCAAACCATACCTTATATGCATAATGGCATGCACTGCACTGCACTGAAACAGATGGACCATCAATGGAGTGTTCTACGAGATGCACAAGGACATAATAAGAGCTCATGTTTTATTAACAGAAAGTCTGCTGTTATTCAACCCCAAATCCATACAATTCTAAATGCATCAGTTGCAGAAATGTACCAGGGAAAGATTACAAGAAGACTAGAAAAGAGAGAAGGGAAAGGAAGACATAAACGAAGGAAAATTTCACTACCCTGCAAGAATTTTCATTAATACAATGTCCTTGCATCAAGAAAGGGCATTGCGGGTGAGCGGGCCGAATAGGTATACTAATGAGCCGCAACAGGCCACCCAATATAGCAGTGTGGCATGCAGATACTTGGACTTCTGTCACACTCTATAGTCTTCAGAATTATGTCTTCCCCACTATTCATCTGTTACACATCCCTCTGAAGCAGATTGCACGTTCTTGATGTACTGGAATGAATGAGAATCCTCAGTAAATACATTCAAAATGTAGAAAAATATCACTTGGATACACCCACCATTACCTTGTATAAAACTCCTCGAGTGGCCTTGTATGGAGGTGGAGTCCAATTTTTCCGTCGTTCTTCCAATTCAGAATCCGTTAACTGAACATCTATTCTCCTCTCCCTGATATCAACATTAATGACATCTCCATTTCTAATGAGACCAATTGGACCACCTTCCTGGAAATGATTTTCAAAGACCTCTTAATAATTTGATAAAACATTTCCTAGGGCTAAGCAAAAAGAAAAGAACAAAGATGTCTTACAGAAAAGCACTAATTTTCTTATTTTGATCAAACGTGTAAAATAACCAGAAATAATAAAATACAAGTGTTCCAAAAAAAAAAAGATAGAGAAATTGTAGCTCAAGGATTAGAAAAGGGGAGGCACCTGTGCTTCAGGGCATATGTGACCAGCAACAAATCCATGTGAACCTCCAGAAAATCTACCATCAGTCAACAATGCACAGTCCTGCAAATTCAGCAGAAATAACCAAATGAAACCATCACGTTGAAGGCAAGAATGCTAACACTATCAGCAAAGTAAATCAATTAGCTATGGAGAACCTATTTACAGAGAAGACAAATGAAAATGTGTATCTCAAGTCTAAGGAAGTTTGGTCCGCTAAGATCACTCAAACAAGTGACCAATCAGGCTTTCACGAGATCAGCATGCATATTCCTTTACTAATATATCATCTTACAATCAGAAAAATCCTGAAGCCGTATGATTCAAGCCAATACTGGCAATTACAAGGCACAACCAAGGTTCATATAACTGTACCTTTCCAAGCCCTGCTCCCATTATAGCACTTGTTGGTGTTAGCATTTCAGGCATGCCCGGTCCTCCTTTTGGTCCCTCTCCTCTAATAACTACTACTTTTCCCTACAATGCAATGCATGCAACCAAATATCAGATAAGCAGTTCCAGTAGAAAATGTCACCATACATGACCCAACACGAAGAAGAAAACAAGCCCATGAACACTATACCAACAAAAATCATGGATGAAGCTATGACAGAGATAACATTTCAAGACCGTAGATGATGCCACATAGGAACATCATACCAAATACAATCTCAAGGTCATATAGTTAGAAAAAAATTGGGAACTTATCATGGTTTGAAGGTGCAACTTTGGGGTGAAAGAATTTCTAAAATAACATGCAACAACAAAGAAATTTGAGAGCATTGGTTAAAATCAAAGCTCTCTTCAGTCATGTTGCGTATCATAAACAACTGATGTAAAAAGAGCTTTGAAAGAAGAGTCATGATGCTACCTGCTAAAGCCTCAAGCTGTTTTATGATGGGTTTCATTTATGGAACTGCAAGGGAACACATTCATGTTTTTACCTGACAAAAATGAATTTTCTATTTGTGACTGATTTTTACTAAATCAAATGCAAAGGTAATTCCAGTTCAACACATACCCTAAACAAAAATGCAGAATTATGGACTACACATGCAATCAGTCCTATAAAGTACCTGCATCTCTATTGGGGGATCAAACCTTTTTGCATGAAAATATGTTGTAGTTATAAAACACAATGCCAGCTGGCCTGAAGGGAAAAGAATGCATAAACATGCCCAGAATATGATCACCTTAAAACTCATGGGATCCTCAGAGATAGCTGCAATCATAGATTCCTCTCCCTCAAATACAAGTGCAGGACCTGGAGAACAGTGAATGTTTGATTATATTAATGTTTACAGTTGATTCAACCAAGACTAAAATGTTCAGTTGTACATCTGACATCAAGAAATCATAACAAAGTACATAATAGAAACATTACCAGAGAAATATAACCCTTCTTTTCCAGTAATTTTAGCTACAGAACCCTCTGGTGCAAGATTTCCACGTAATATTTGGAGGTGACCTGTTTGCTTAATTGGGTTTTCCAATGATCTTATTATCTCCTGGAAGATAGAAGACAATGGATTGTTAAGTTAATTATTTTGTCCGGAAACACTGCTTTCTTAACAGAAAAGGAAGGAATAGAAACAAAGAAAACAGCATCCTACCTGCCCCTCCGACAATGGTGGACAATTTTGAACATTTTCAGCCAATGTCTTCCCAGTGACTAAAGAGAAAACAAGTCATGTTAACATCATAGCATATAAAACCACCTCCAGAAAAAATTAAATAGATGCAAAACATCTCAATATAATCCAAACTTTGTACCAGTCAAACAGTCACCGTCCAGAAAACCATGCTCCAAAAGGTAGCGAAGGACAGCAGGTGTTCCCCCAATCTACCAAACCATTTGGGCACAAGGAAACAAAGTGAAAAGTACAGTAAGCAGATCAAGTTCAGCAAACTCTACATACATGTCATGTTCAACAAATATCGTGAGGCACAGTGTTACATTGATTATCTTAGAATAATTCAAATGGTCATGCAAGAAAATTCAGACCTTATGCACATCCTCCATAACATATTTGCCACTAGGTTTCAGATCTGCAAGGAATGGAACCTCATCACTGACCTTCTGAAAATCATCGAGGGTTAACTCCAACCCAACAGACCTGCCAATATCTCATGAGCCATCTCCATAAAATGCAATTATTGTTGATATATGAGAGAACGCTACTAACCTTGCAATTGCAATTAAGTGTAACACGGCATTAGTAGAGCCACCTAGTGCCATGACAATAACCATTGCATTACGTAGTGACTTGCGAGTGATAATGTCTCGTGGTTTCAAGTCCATCTTTAATAGTTCTAGCAGATATTTTCCAGCTAAACGGCACTCATCCAACTTCAATTGGTTTTCAGCAGGTATTGAAGAGCTGTGAGGAAAAAACAAATCAGAGGAAAAGAAATTGCTTACAGACACCAATTCAAGTGATACTGCAGGGCAACATTTCTACCTGTAGGGAAGAGACATTCCCAAGGCTTCAATAGCAGAAGCCATTGTGTTAGCTGTATACATTCCACCACATGCCCCTGCTCCAGGGCATGAATTATGAACTACATTTTTTCTTTCATCATCACTAATAGATCCACTAACATACTCTCCATAAACCTGGTAGGAGGAAAAAAAAAAACAAAAGACAGGGAGAGGGCAACAAAAATATGAAAGAAAAAAATAATTAATTTTTGATTTTTAAAATGAAATGTTCATGATTTGGTTATACTCATTGCTTCAAAAGAAATTTTTTATCAAAACAATAAAAATAAAAATAAAAATAAAAATTGAGCAATCCAAAGTTATGATTCAATTGCAGGGTTGCAGATAGCATCGCAATCTCATACGTGAAGCATATGCTTCCAAGCATGATTACATTCTCATTTGAAACACTTCTTCCCCAACTATGAAGCATTGAATACCATAATTTTTAACAGACATAAGCCTAAAGCATTCTATTAATGTAATGGGAAAAGGATATCATTAGCTTATTTGCCAAACATGCCACAGGCTTTTTTTCCAGCACAATTAAGACAAAATAAAAAAGAGACTAGATAAATGAACATTGAAAACTGTCACAAAATATATCAGATGTAACAATATCAAAAAAGCGAAGTTGTTTGCTTACCTGAAATGCAGATATTATATCATAAGTATGACCGTTGAAATGACCAGGCTGCAAAAGGTAAGGTGTACAATCACTTAATTCGACAGCAAAAATCATCGAACAGATACATATCCAAAGATTTTTAAAAGAGGTTTGCAGCATTGAAAAAATCCTGGCTCAAAGTATAATTCTTAAATGGTTTCAAAGTATACCAGCACTTTCTGGTGGCCCACAAAAAAGAAAGAAAGAAATTAGGAAAAAGAAGGTGATGTCTCAGACTCACACCTTGATAGTTCCACCATAAACCATGATGCTAGGTCGATTCAGCCTCCCCATTGCCATGATTGTACCGGGCATCTACAAAAAATGAAAAAACTTAATAAGTATATGGTTGGAGATGGAAGTAAGAACGGTGGACATCGGCTCTTGTGCGAAGAAAACGGACATACATGATCCAAAATGATGGCACTATTCTATCTTCTCATGGTTGGTAACATAATTTACAGGGTCGAGTTAGACACTACAAAGTTGCACTATTATTGTCATTCTTTTTTCTTCTTTTTTTGTGTGTTGTTCAGTTCCTTTTCTTACCATTCTTTTTGGATACGAGGAGCTATTTTGATTGTGAAAAAATATATCAGCTTCGAGTAACTTTACAGCCAATACAGCAAAGATGAACATGTTTTTTTAGCCACAAAAAAGGAAGAATATATTAGTTAGCTTTGTTTTTGTACCAGGAAAAAAAATAGTATTAGCTTCAACACTATGGGCTGGATATTTACAGAAATATCGAGTACCGAAATGAAAACAGAATAAGATGGAATAAAAGAAAACAGAATGATATTACTAAAATGTTGAAAAAATATTCTGTTATTGACGAGTCCGGCATATTGCCATAACAGGGTTCAACTTTGGCGATCTTAATTCCATTTCAAGTTTTTCAAAAACAAAAAAAATCAGCATAATCAACCACACCAATAGCCAATGATCAAACCCTCAATAAATACACATAAATCACACATTTCACTCAAACCCACAAACCAAAAGGTCCAAATTTTGCTTCTTTAGAAAAAAGAAAGAGAAAAGCTTACATTTTTATCACAGCCGGGAATGGAGATGTTGCCATCGTACCATTGAGCACTCATAACAGTCTCAATACTATCAGCAATCAAGTCTCTACTTTGCAAGCTATAGCACATCCCTCTAGTCCCCATTGAAATAGCATCACTGACACCAATTGTATTGAACCTGAAACCAACCATTCCTGCCTCCTCGACCCCTATTTTAACAGCCTCTGATAGCTTCAGCAAGTGCATGTTACAAGTATTCCCTTCATACCAAACTGAAGAGATACCTATCTGAGGCTTAGACATGTCATCATCCGATAAACCAACCCCATGAAGGATCGCTTGAGACCCACCTTGAGATTTGGGTTCGGTAATGCGGGAACTGTACTTGTTTAGCTTTTGTGCTGCTGTGCTTGTTGCCTGTGACGGTTCTACGGCAACAGACTGGGCTTTGACGAGAAGAGAAGAGGGAGGGAGGCGGGTGCGGAATGGGGTTTTGGGTTTTAGAGGGGTGGCGCGTCGGCAAACGAAGGTGGATTGCATGGTGGTGCGTGGAGGGGGAGAGGTAAAAAGAGTAGCTGTTTAAATGACGAGGAGGGAGAGCCCTAGCTAATGTGGTAATATTGCGATGCGGTTTGACGCCGTATTACTTTGGCTCAGTTTATTTTCAGAAAAATTGTTTTTTTTTTAAAATAAATTTTAAAAAATATTTTTTTAATATTTAATGGTGTTATAAAAAATCAACTGAAAAATACTTTCTAGTATTTATTTATTTTATGAAAAATAAACTAAAAAATAATTTATTAATAAATTAATTTTTTAAAAAGTTTATCTAATATATATATATATAATATTTAATATAAATATTTAATCACTTACAATAAAAGAATGAAATTTAAAAAGTATAATGATGAATTTTTTTATTATATCTTATATTCATATATAATTTATTTTATAAAATATAACTATATATATTATATTATATTATAAAGAAATAAGCTTGAGAAATATATTTTAAGTAAAACCTATTAATATATTTTTT